GAGAGAGAGAGAGAGAGCAGTCCTAATTGCAGACTGGTGATCTAGTGGAGCAGTAGCTTGCTGTGGTTTGGTCTGTGGCTTCCAACACCCCCCTAAAAGCCCTCTTTGTTCTCACATTTCAGAAAGGAGCCAGTAGCCAACGTATTGCTTTACTTCTGCCTGCCTGCAAACCGCCTTTGCTAACAGGACTTCAGGGGACTATTCTGAACAGTTAATTGCACAGGACCCATTGTTCCCCCCTCCCCTCCGGCTGCACTGTTTGTAAACCCAGCCAATCTAGCAAACTTTGCAAGGGGAAACCAACAGTGTGCAGACTGACTTTTTTGCATCCACACACACACACACACACACACACACACACACACACACACACACACACACCACACACACACAGAGTTTTGTTTGGATAAAGAAAGCAACAAGTTTCAAAGACTACAGCTGTTTGAAGACACCAAAAGTAGGGCATGGCTCATTCAGATATTTTCCTCTGTGGTCAGAGCAATGACGCTATGCTAGCCACTAGAGTCTACTCTGTTATTAAAGAGAAAAAGGGAGTTGTCAAGTCTTTTTCCTTGAGCAACTTGACTTTCGAGAAAACATATCCTCCTCGGGTAGGTCCAACACACTGATGCAAGACCTGCCAAAACAAAACGGATGTCTGTGCAACAGGCCTTCATCAGGTGGAGAAAAGTGTATTCAACTTAAGCCAAGAATGGACAATCTATTGTCAAAAACAAACACACATCTCAGAGGAAAAAGAAAGGCGGCTCCCTGCTCCTTCTCTTGCCCCACTCCGCTTTCACCTTGCTCTTTTCTTTACCTACAGCTCCAATCTTCTTCCCGGCCCGGGGAAAGCCATTTCCCGTTCTCACACATGAACATACATAAGCGTCAACACCACACAGAGCACACAGCATGCTTGTTTGTGGGAGACTTCTGGTCCTCGCTGGCACTTTCCTGTACAGCTTTAACTCAACTTCAAAAGACAATGGGTTTGTAAAGAGGGTCGTTTATCTATTTAAGTGGACCCACTTGCTGTGTTATAGTAGAAAACACGTCACGTGATCATATATGAATAGACCCTTTGGTGCTCAGTTCCCATCTTTACTTTCTCAGTTGTGACTCACTGTCTAGGTCCACTTCCTCTGAAACAAACCACAAAGGCTCACTGTAAGGAACTGACACCATATTAGGAACTGAGCTCTATGCAGCCAACACCAGTGGGACGTCAGATTGACTCAGAAAAGACGTGAAACAAGCGACTGATGCCATTTATCCTGTGCATACACAGACCCTAGGTGCCGCTTTGTTGCTGTGTTTGTTTACTGGCACTCTGCTTGAATGCAGAGGATGTTTTGTTTAGCATGTTGCTACTTTTGAAAGAATGACCTGAATCATAAACACAAATGTAATCATACACAGTAATCACAAACAGAGATTTACATTAGCTCAGCAGATACCCTGCGGGTAATCTTGTTTACACTCAACAGCTGAGCGACAGATAAAAAAGACATGCATTGGACTGTGATTAGCTCTAAAAATACCGCGTCCCCAAAAGGCTTCGTGAATACTTCCTAACAGAGCGTGTTAACAGATACAAGAAATTGTTGTCCTGACATTTCTACAGAGAACATAGAGTCACCAATGCGGAAGCTTAAAGCTTTTCCTTTCTTTGTTAAAGGAAGGAAAAGTGGGAGCAAAAAGTACCCTAACCTTTACAGTCTATCATCCACCCAGTCTCTGCATCTTATTTCCCATCACTTAAAGGCCACATTTCTTAAAAGAGTAATATCCACAAAAATACTATAAACCTCCACAGACCAAAAATAGAGGTTTGACGCTGCTCTGCTCTGCGCTGCGCTGCTGGCTGGTGTTTAGAGTTTAGGTTCTAGTATGCAAATGCTGTACAGTATATTTTTTAGCATCCATTTCTATTCATACCGCACACTGCTATTTGTATGAGTCTGGAATAAGCCTGTCAGCAGTGATGAAATTTCATATTCATGAAAATTTCCAGAGCAATCTCCATCCGTGGAACATGTCAAGGGATTACCTATGTGAATTATGTATGGTGAGCAGGAATGAAATGGAGGGGGGTGAACAGAACTAATAACATGATGACTTTAAAGCTTCAAAATGAGTGCTTCACATTATGGTAATATGTCTAATTATAGCTTTAATTTCATACTTTCATGCTGTAAATGCTGCAATTCATGTATTGGTTGTTTTAGTATGATCGTATCTGTTATGTCTTCTTATGTTTACTTACTACACATTTGTACTGTTCTATTAACTTTTCTTGGCCCTGTCCTCTCATTTTCTGTTGCATTGCAAGTGAGAATTAGAGAAGGGCAGTAGGTTTTGTTAAAAAATACTTTCTGGCTTTTTTCTGTTACTTCTTTCCCTCCTCAACCTCAGTAGTTGCTTGTGATGTTTGATTAAATATTTAAGTTCACACTACAGCGCCTGAATTGAAAAATGCCAAAAAAACTACTGTACTCATTCATCATTAACATACAGCTAAGAGGTTTATTTCATTCAGGCTGCCTCGAAATCTGTGCATAAGTCATGCACTGGAGTTACTAATATATTTTAGTTTATATTCATATGCTAATAACAAGTGCTGTACACCATTTTGAAAAGCCAAAACTCTTGAACTGTGAGTCAGCAAAAATACCATCTCGCACAATATAAGACAGTAATTATAATATGATAACACCTGAAACACGTCACCAGTCAGTTCAATCGAAAACCCATGTAGAATTTTCCATGACATGTTTGAAAACTAGGCTAAATACAACATGAAATAATAGCAGTAGAAATATGAAAACAAAAGAAACTGGAAGATATATATATATATATATATATCTATATATATATATGTAAATGTAAACAAATGTAAACAAATGTAATGTTTATTAATGGGGGTGTAAGATCCCTTTAACCAACTATTGAGATAGTAGGTCTAGAAAGATTCAGACCACACAGTTCATAAATCGCACTTTAAACAAGCCAGGTGAAAAAAGCCTTTGTGGTGGAGTCGAGACAACTATCTGTCCTTTCCCATCAGTTGACTGGCAGTCTTAAATTCGCAGGTGCATCATGGGTACTGGAAAGCAATTCTGGGAGCACATTTGTCCCTACATAATGCACCAACTCTCACAAACATGTTTGATATAGGGTCTGGCTTCTGATACACTGACTCAGAGAATTTTTGGTTACAACCTTATACTGAATGTTATCTGAAAAACATCCACAAATGACAAGTGGCGCACACACACAGATACACACAAATACAGTACACAGAACACGTGGGCTGGGGATTTGAGGACACATTTCCTCGGTATTGGTAGGCAGTGTGTGTGTGTGAGTGTGTTGGACACAGAACGTGAGCGTGATACCAGCCCCTCTGGGCTCTACATGAATCATGTGTATTACATAAGACAGACAGCAGCAGCACTCTCCCCTTGCCCATCCGCCCATCTCTCTTGATTCCTTCTGTCGTTTCTCACACTCATACACATTCATTTATTTAAGACATTTAAGAAAGGAAATCAATTAATGGCTTAAAAACATCCCAGTGCCTTAAACCTCCCCTCGCACACATTCACTTATTCACACATACACAGTCCGCCTCCTCGCTGTGGCAAGGACATCTGGCACATTTCACAAGCTGGTTATGTGAGGGGAGTGTGTGTGTGTGTGTGTGTGTGTGGTGTGTGTGTGTGTGTGTAGGTAGTGTGTTTGTTGGTGGGGGGGGGGCTGGAACATTGAAGGGCTACAGTGAAGGGAAAGCTGGCACAAGTGAAGGGGTTCAGTGAGTACAAAAGAAAGACATACTGTGAATCAAATTTCCCTCTAAAACACAACAGCTCAATTTCAAAAACGTCATGCTTCACATTGAAAGATAAGAAAAAATAAGATACTAAAAGATCTCAGGCGCAGAACCTAATCTGAAGGTTGTTGTGGGCCGATAACCAAAGCTGGCTAGCCCTGCTAAAAGCTCTCGGAGGACGCTAAATGTCATAGCTGATTAAAACCTTATGACAGCAATGTGACCAGAGACAACATCATCTCTCTGTTTCACTCAGTAGCGGAGGAAAACTGTTGTGACTCATTAGGGCAGTGAATGGATTCACAGAGTGTGTGGGATTGAGCTCTCAGCTGCCGCTCTGAGACACAGCAACCTGACCGAGCCAAGGGTAAAGGAAGCCAATTTAATCTAACTGACCTGCGAGACATGGGGAAAATAACCTCCATCAATCCACGAGAGGTAGGCAAAGATGGCGGTTCAGTCGATGTGTCTCGTGTGGGAGCAGTGGCGGAGAGAAAGAAAATATGAGTGGGTTTGTGTGTCTGCGTCTTACCTGATGCGTGACCATGAGGGAGCAGGGTGAAGAGGAGGAGAAGCGCGGAGGCAGCCAGCCTGTGGGCTAGAGAGGAGGAGGAGGAGGAGGAGGAGGACGGGGCTCTCGTCTGAAACGCTACCATTCCATCGCACATCTTTTCCTCCGGCAACCAGCGAGAGTCCTCTACGGCTTAACCTGTGCAGGCCACATAGAGAGGACGGGATAGAGGGGGAGGGGGAGGGAGGACGTGGATTACTATCAACATTCAGCGAGGATTATGTAACCAGAAGCAACACAAGAGAGACAGGAGGGAATAGAGTGAGAGAGCTATTAGGACTGTGAGAGAGAGAGAGAGAGTGACAGAGAAAAGGCCTTTTCTGCACGTCATCAAGTAACAGTTGGTTTTCCGGTACTAACAATTGCATCAATGACTGTGTGTATTTCCACTTCTCGTGCTTTAGTTCCTTAAATGGCATCCTGCTATTGAACCCACCCCCGAGACGGACAGACAACAATTTCCAGCTCTCCTTTTTAAAAACCACCAGTGGCAGAAGCAGCAGGAGGCGTCCTCTGATCTCTCCTCGATCCCCACATTTGGCTCTGCCACGAGAGCTAACTAAATAAACCAGCCATTACACTCTGCTGTAGATGATGTAACAGGGAAACGGATCCCTGCTGCTGATGAGGTAGCAGCATTAGGGCGAGAGAGGCTCGACATTGGCGAGAGAGTGAGCGCAAAACAAAAAACAGTGGTTCCAACGGCGAGTTCTGCAAAGATCCTGGTTGAGGAGAGGAGCTGGAGTAAGAGAATGAGTCAAACGTCATTAGGTTTGTGACGCAGACTGATCGCTGGTGTTTTGGAGCGGTGACTCCTCAAATGTAGTTAGGAAAGAGTTATGATAAAAGGAGGCACAGTGCTTTACAGTTGAATAATAAACAGATGCCATACCACGGTCTGCTCAGCTGGGATGCCGCTCTGCCATATGCTGCAGATTGTTATGAGCGATAGAGTTTGATGGATAAATTATGTAAACTGCATCAGGTGCTACTTCCTAAAATATCTCCTGTATTCTTTAGCCACTGACATTGCCACCGGACTGTAGATGTTAAATGTTTTATCAGCGAAACAGATCAGCGTGATTGTTTGTTTGTTTTATTTTCCCTTGCAGCACTTATTACTGACTGCAAACATGTTGTTGCTCCATTTGTTCTTATCAAGGATCAGCGAAATGTATCATTCTATCATTCATAGTAGACTTACATACAATAATATTTAAGTACATGATAATAGTTATATAGATATAAACATACACAGGAAATTATTCTGCAGTGTTTTTTTGATTTGCATCTGGGGGAATATAAACAGCAGCAACAACACAGTGATGGTAAAATCTATATCTACAATAAATGGTATCTGAAGTGTCTGCAAACAAATCTCTAATGTAAAATAAACCTCTGTGTTCCCCGAACAGCTGGACAGCAGCAGAGAAAAGCAGGGAGGAGATAAGGAGTTACTGTGAGACACCTTTAAACAGCACGGGAGGAAAAACACATCCATACGCACACAGACAATAACACCCACATCCTCTCTGCACAAATCTCTCCCCGTGATACCAACTTAACTAAGTTCCAAAAAGCATTTGTTGGTTGATTGCGAGACGTACGCTGTCATTATGTAAATAGGATGCAGGTGCACAGTGCTCTGGTTATGTCGCTGCAGAGAGATTGGGATGAAGTAGCAGTGGTTGCGTTCTGTCGGGAACTAGCTCGCTGGCAGGCAGCATATCCTCAAGAGAGGGCAGAGGGCCCCATTACAGTTACACAAGGCTGCTGAGCTAATGGCTACAGTAATGGCACGGCTGCACTTAGAGAGTTGCCGATTTGATTGCAGATCTGCTGCGTGGCCACTGGCACTGCCACAGAAGACCTGGAACCACTGTGATGAGGGAAGTTACCCAATATGACTGGGAAACAGTGTATATACTCCACTAGATAAGAGCATTAAACAGATAGTCAATCGAAAGAAAAATAATCTGCTACTACTCTGAGAGCCGAGTGTTTGTTAAAGTCACAAACTCAGAGACGTTCACTTCATGAACCCACATGACGAGTAAAAAAGCAGCCTCCAGTTCAGAAAACGTGACCATACTCGTTTTTCTGCACCGAGGATGCACACAACTAGAACTAGAACGGAGGGCAAGGTCTCAAAATGCTGTACCTGCACTGAACTACATTTTTACCAAAAGATGAAGATCATTTAAATGGGCAGAAATGTTCCAACGCAGGCAAAGAGCAGGGCCCCGTGCTGCCTGCCACCTCTCTGATGTCCACAAGAATAGGATGGAGAGGCATGCCGACGTGCGGCGCAGGCCAGCGGGAGAGAGTGACGCAAGTCGTTTTTGGCAGGACAGTTTGGGTACTGCATTGAGCCAAAGGGCAGACAGTCAAAAACACATGCGGGGGGATCTGTGCCAGCCATTTGATCCATAGACGCTTTCTCATTTGTCCATGTCGGGATCGAAGCAATGCAGCGAAGGCCTGGGTTACAGAGACGTTCACTCAGATGATGTTCTTGCCAGATGAGCGTCTTAGAAATATCAATGACAAATAGAAGTCAAAGACAGGACAAACATACGACGCTTGTTTTGTTCGAAGGCACTTGTTGGGATGTAAATAACCACTTGGGATGGCATTTATAATGCAGGACTGACCTCCTGAGAGAGCGCAGGACAGAGTATTGACCGGCCAGTATGTTTGCAAAGTGAAAACTTAAGCAGAATTAGCTTAATTGCTTTCACACAAGAGCGTCTGAGAAAGGAGAAAGTCATTAACGCTGTGCTAAGGTATCCCACAATACAGCATTCCAATTAGATCCTTTAATATATTTTTTTTTAAATGTACCGACTTCGTGTTCGTGCATTTAACTGATTACCGACACAGCCGGCAGTTTGACAGCAAAAGAACAGAAATACTGCAAGTTTGGATGTCAACTTTCTAACTTGTGTGGATTTCTCGTCAGACACCACCAAAGATGTAACTTGACACATCACATTAAAGACTGCTATTTTAAACATCAAGAGGTTTAGTTTCCTGGAACACAATGTTGTACCAAACCACATAAACAAACACTTCCTGCTGGCAGCTGCATGTAGCCAGGTAACATTACCATAACCAAATCACAGTTTATGGCCTGCAGTGACACTGGTGTGCGTGCAGTTCAAACACCTATCAGTATCATTTCAAAGTCATTTTAAATAGCTGACATTCAAGTCATTATTGAAGTATGACTACTCTCAGTTACATTAGTGTCACTGGAATAGGATAGCTGACTGTCAGACGTGAAGCACCAACAGAGAAGCGGAAAGAAACTAAAAAGGAAAAACAGAAAGCTGAAGTCATTTTTTAAAACACGAAACGACACGAAACACATCAGCTCATCCACACGGTTGCAAGACAGACAGACATTACATTGCTTCATACAAAAGAACTAGGCAACTTCCTTACATACTAAATCAAGCTCTGTGGGGCTGGGACTACTTTCAATAATTAAAAAGAGTGTTCGTTTTTAAAAAGCGACATGGCTTTATAAAAATGTCATGACGATTTGATGTCAACGTTTGTGTGGCGTGCTGCTTCATTTCTCACCGTAATCAACAGGATCACCAATAAGGAAACAGCAAGACCAGTCATCTAATGAAAGTGGTGTTGCCAGTTCTAGTAGTTTAATACTATGTTTAGATAGAGGAGTACGTATGATATGCAGCTCACTGTCAGATCAACAGTGACAGACGAAAACTGCATCCTCAAAGATACACCCAATGGATGCCACAGCTTTGGTTCACCTCAGTGTGGTGGCCAAACGGACAGTCGTCATCGCCCTGTTGTTCACGTTAAAAAGCTTTCTTTAAATCAAACATCATGCCAGGCCAGATCAGAATGAAGATGTACTGTTGTAATTTATACATTTATGAACGACAACGCATCTTTGTTATGACACTAGTCTTAGGGCCCGTCCACACGAGTAC